CTTGGAAATGTACTTCAAGGCCAAAATGTGAGATTAGATGGTACAATACAGATTTTATGCAGTGTCCCATAAACTCTGACGTCCTTAAAAGGCTTCTGGTCTCCCTAGCTTAATAATATACACATTTTAAAAGAATTGCTTCACATCATCAGAAATTCATTACCAAAAGGAGCTAAGAACTTTTCTCCCAGACTTAAAAAAAGAGATGGCTGCTATGCAACATGCAACAATCTACTGTTACAGTTTGCAAGAGCTTACAAGTCCTTTAATTCGAATGAAATAAAAATCTGATGTAAGGAATGTCTCCTTACTGCCCCATTAAATTTTAAAAGTAAATACTAGTGCCAGCTAATGCCAGTCTAAATAAGCAAGGGACTGCAATACTTGAAAAAAATGAAACTTTTTAGCAAAGACAGTTCAAAGGCACCAATTTGTTACATAGATCTAGATCTGCTCAATAGCAAGATTAGATAAGAGATCTACAGACAAGAGCACATAAGTTACTGTAATTACTACTTGATGACAACTGTGGCTGAAAGTTAGCTTTTACTTCTGAAATGTGAGCATTCTCGTTTGCAGTGTAAATTTAGTCTACTCAGGTAGAAAGGAATTAAAAACAAACTGACCTTTGTTTCTCTTTTCATAGCAACAGTAAACAGCATTCAGTGCAAAAGAAGTTCCCCAAGATCAGCACTGAAGAAAAGCAGGATATTACAGAGAGGAAGTTATGAAACTTTAAAAGCTGCGCAGATATGAAGAAAGAAAAGCTCAACTCACATTTCAGAGGGCATGCCTGATTTTAGTTTGTGATTTTTTCCATAAATACTAATACAGATGACTTCAAGTCCAACTATATCCAAACTGTGGGATTCAATCAACGTTCAAGTGTGCCTGTATAACTAACGGATTTAAACAAGTCTTCCAAAACAACGTTCGCCGTCTTTTCTTACAGCAAAGCTCCTGCTTGTTTTCAGTGCCCTTTGCCCCTCCCTCACAACAGAGCTGGCGTTTCCCAGTGCTACTGCTTCTAAGAGCCACCTCATTTCTACCCTTATTCAAGGACGTATCTTATCAGGCTGATTAATGCCTAACTATGTATCCACCTACTCACAAGATACAAACGCCACAGTGGAAGTCTCCCATTGTTTCTTAAAGGGGTTATAGTAAATGCCAGTTTCATCCAGCTTAATAGGATCCCTCTGGAAAAGTGTGATACGAAGGAGGCAAAAGAGCCTCTTACTTTTTAATTGCCACTGTCAGCTAACTAGAAAATACTCTCAGGTGACACCATGCATTGACAAGTTGAAGTCAGCAATGACCCCTCTGAGCCTGATATTTGTTCTGTCTCCGACTTCCTTTAAGGCTATGATTACCCCTGACCAATTCAAAATACACTCTTCACAGTTATCTATAGAAACCTGGGACTGTTTGCGATACACGGGCAAGTTTTTATTCATTTATTGGTAATAGGTACAGTCACATTAACAGATTTGCTTTTCTTCTTTCTTTCTTTTTTTGGCACTCCCTTGGGGGAAAGCAAAAGGTGGATCAGAGGCTCATGTTTTCAAGTGTCAGGGCAGGCTGCACACCAAAGCTACGTGTGGTAAACTGCAGCTGCAATTACTACAGAGCTCAGCATGCACCAAAACTCATGTCCACTACATGAGGTAACTGCATGATGCTGCTTTCTGATCTCTGAATGGCAACAAAGACGTGCCCTGCAAGTCCAGTTTCCTCCCCATGACGTGTGATGTGCATAGTTAACAGATTGCTCCCACAGGGACTCCAAGCTGCCTGTACCCAAGCGCCGTACCAGCACAGCAGGAGCATGTTTGGCTCTGCACCTACCCTGTGAGTGGTCCAGAAGCTTGGCTACCTTCACTCTGGACATTCGCCAGCATCCCTACAAAACATGTAAGGTAAAGCCATCCAAAAGGACCCTTATGTTCCTTATGTTCCCTGTTAGACTTCAAGTATTCAGGTAAATAAAGCTGCCAGTTTAGCACCCTCCAAAAAGCATCTGGTTTACACGTACCAAAAGTATTTCACAAGCCAAGCCAGCACGAACTATATGGGGGCAACTGTGAGATTTACATGATCATTCCACAAGCCTGAATAAAAATGTTAATATAGATTAAACAGAGCAAAGAGAGAGTTAGGTCCCCTCCTCTTCCATGACATGGATATTCAGCAATTTCTCCTGTGTACTACTTTAAAAACTTTATAGCTTTCCTTTAAAGACATTATAGGGAAAGCCCAGGTGCAAGGTCTGAGCAACTGCACAACACAGCTACAGTGCCCACCAGAATCAAACAGCAGCAATACTGTGGCTGTTTAAAAGGCCCTGACCTTTGTTTTCCTAATGGACTGTTCCATTACTACTCTGCTCCCTTTCTTTCTGAGGCCTTGTTAAAAACTAGAGCTTTTCAGTTTCACTTAGGAATTGTGATAATTGCTAAGGAGAGCAACAATGTTTTCTTTCTTTTTCTCAACTACAAGGTAGCAGGCCCTGGAGCTCCACAGGGAACACTGGAGGAGCAGGCTGGACCCCATCACCTGAAGGCCAGCGCCCGCAAGGAAAGGCTTGCCACCTCCCCACTGCAGCCCAAGGGCTTGAGAGCCTGCTGTGGTTTTATAAAGAAGACTTGGCATTGTATTGTGTGTGAATTTCAACTTGGAAACACAGGCTATTTTTTCCCTAGAACTTTTCCAGCTAACAAAGTGGACCAGGCCTACACACAGACAGCTGTCACCAGCCAAACATCCCTCCTTGTGACGACCACCATCTTCTGAGCAGCACCAGCCTTGCGGCTTAGAGGCAGCTCCTGAGGCAGCATCTTTTCAAGCCAGCAACAGCAAGTGAAGCAGCTCTGCAGCAGATGAACACTCATTATTCCAGGGTAAATTTTTTAGCCTTCTGGACAGGTCTATTTTCTGTTTATGTGTGTATATACTGGTATATAAACACATTTTCATACACACATATGCATATCCTTCAAGCAAAACAGGAAAATAAAGCCATTCCTTTAATTTCCTTCCATTTCATTTTATAGAAAAGAAAATATCTACTTGCTTTGGTGACTGTTACGCTATTTGCTTGAAGACTAATCCATGGAGACCAAAAGGCAGTGTTAGTACAGTACCCAAAGTCATCATGCAACAGAAAGATACTTTTCTTCTCACACAATAAGAAAATATCAATTTAGAAAATGAACAAACAAATTCAATCCAGCCAGCAAGGTCTTCTTGAGAAGAATACGGCTGAACTTCGTTACGACAGCAGAAGACTACCTTTAGTCTGTTTTCTTAGGATATGTCTGTATGCTGACTAGTCAGACACTTTCTAAACATAAACATTTATACATGGGTGGAGTATATAAGAAGTGCTGTTTTGTTTACTTACAAAAGTAACAGGCGAGCTGTTATGGGAATCATTATCAAATAACAGTCATGTAAAAGTAACCTAATCTTTTTCTCCCCAAACCATGGCAGGCTGCACTTGTATCCCTCTGTGATATTACAAGGAGACATAGACAGTGACAGTGCCCTAAGTGGAAACATAATATTATCCTAAAACAGAACTCTTTTTGCAAGGTCTGTCTGCTGTCTCCAGCAGCTCCTTACTCCTGAATTCTCATTAGAGAGCTCCTCTTTCCGGTGCAAGTTAGGCTACCCACAGAAACATCCTAATCTGTGCTGAGATTAGACAGCCAGGACATGCGCAAGCTTTTGTGAGGACACATCAGACATAGTGTATCATCAGACAAGCTCTAGCATATTCAGAGAGCCCTGGCAAGTGCTTGCTCTCATCCAGCTCAAGTACGTTTAATGCTGAGCTGGACAGGTGAAAATAAAGGAATTGGTACAGCGTTACAAACCCTGCAGCATAAAGCAGAGAACTGTCTGATATTTTCCAAGTTAATGAAAAAGCCTATCGTTAGGTCAGAACACTGACAGTGTAAAGAAGAAAAAACAGCCTTCCAAGACTATTTTTCAAGGGGAAAAAAAAAAAGAAAAAAGAAAAAAGATGAAAAAACTGGCCTGGTAGATTTCATGCAAAAAGCACAGAAGTAAAGGCTGAATGAAACATTTTCAGAAGCAGCCAAGTTTTGTTGAGTGGTGCAGATCTACCTACCTGTTTATCACTGAGTGATAAGTGTCTATTACTAGTCATCTCCAATTCAAGATCAATTTGTTCATGTACAAAAGCAGAAGTGCAAGTGACATGATTTTCTATGAAATTTTGTTCTGCCATTGACACTCACTATTGTGCTGGTGAACAAAGGCATTCTTGGCTATCAGGTATCAAGACCACATGGTGCACTGAATTAATCAAGCTTAATTATTAATCTGTGCAGTCAGGATTTCCGGAGTCAATCCAACCACACTATTACTGTGTCAGCCTGAAACTTGGTGCCTGATGGTAAATGAGTGCACTGTAAAAATCTGCACCCGAATACAGCCCTGGTGTTTATTACAGCAACTCAGAAAATCTCCATTTGATCACCTTTACACATTTTATTCACACACACCTAGTTTTAAAGCCATTTTTACCTATCAAACCAAAGGAAGCAAACTCCATAAAAACATGAGCACCGTGAAATGAAAGATGGCACAACCTATTAATGGGCTTAGTTAAGTATAAGCTTATTCACCTGTTCATTCATGTTTTAATCCACATTTGGATAAAAGTCACCGATGTAATTTTCAAAGTAGTGTGCACTGCTTTTTTCCTCTACTGTACAATTAAGCACTTAACTCCAAAGAAGAATACTTCCTGCAACCTTAAAAGTCTCATTCTGAGTTTGCATCTCAGTTTCTCTCCCTGCCTCAAGCCAACTCCAGTTACTTCAAGGGCATATTCCACTGAGCAGCAACAAATCAAGTTTTAAAACTTCAAGATACTAGATCCCATTTGAAATCCACTGCTTAAAACCGTCACTCATCATACGAGGTCAAACAGGTACCGCAGAAATTACTTTAAGCTCAGCAAACCTTACTTCTGGCAGAGGGCTGGCCGGTTTGGTTAGGATTCCTCCCACATAAACGACATTCGGTAGCGTTGGTCTTGGAAACTCCAGTGCTATATCAGTACAAAGCATCCACAGGCTGGATCCGTGAACCAAGTCATACATAGATCGTTCTGGCAGAACCTTGTGCTTCTGCATTATCCTTTCATATTTTGGCAGAACCAAAAAGCTGACTCCAAATCTTGAAATAAGATAAACAAAAGTATTTTTCATCCTCTCAAATAGGTTCATGCGATCTGTAAGTAGTGAGTTAAATTCTGGAACGTAAGAGAGCGGTGCTGGAGCACCCACTTCTGCTGGATACCAGAGGCCAGTGGAAAAGACGGCATACTTAACCCCTAAAAGGTGAGCTATAACAAATCCACACATCTCATTGGGATCTACCAGGAGCAGGTCAAACTTTTCCTGTTTCAGGGTACGCATGAGGTTTTGGTTGCCAACAATCATGTCGCAGTTCTTTGAATAGTGGTCTAGGATGTCGAACAGTTCCAGGGCCGTCAGTCTCCCAGAGAAGATACTCCTCATCTTGGACTGGAGAAAGTCATCTGATGTGCTGCTGTTAAAGATCCCTGGGTAGCGCTGAAGTCTATAGTGATTAGATGGAGGAATCTCTCTGCCCTCAGAGAGGAGAAACACTGTCTGGTGACCTTGGTCGTGCAAGGCTGAGGCCAGAGTCTTGAAAATATAAAGATGGCTTTCAAACATAATTGGCGGCACAACAACAATTTTGGCAGCCCTTGCTATCCCAACGGCGCTCCACAGGAGGATGAAAACTGGAGTGTACGGCTTCATAGCTGAAATGAGAAACAAGACCATTACATCAACAGCACACAGGTTGGTATTTTACCTGGAAATTAAAAAAGAAGAAAAAAAAAAAGGTATGTTTTAACTCAGTGGCTATCCCCTATCTCAAAGATGTCTTTGCAATTGGAATGGGGAAGAACAGTGACACAAGGCTTTAGAATAGGTTTGGTAGCGTTCATTTTCCAAAAGGTCTGCCTTCCTCCCTCCCTCTCTGTTTCTATCTGGCACAGAGGGTAGATGAAACCTCTTCCAGCACGGGTAACAATACGGCATCGGCACAACATGGCAGGAAAACTGACAAAAAGAATGAGGTTAGTGCTCTCCACAAAGATACTGCATGCATTGCTTCTGAATTACACGTGCTATCTAACAGCTACAGTACCTTGAAGTCAGGTCAGAAAGCTAGACCCTGTAAGATCTGGGATTATATTTAAAATCACAATTACACTGTAATCACAATTACATACTGTGTGAAATGAACACTACCATACTAAAAGACCCAAAGGCTAAAAAGCCATACTAATTCACATCTGAAGGATGCATAGGACGTTTCCTTTCAGCACAGAATATGACTATTTCATAGATATGTTTCAGTCTTTCATCCCTAACTAGAACTTCCACAACAACAATTCTTATTGTTCACTTTGTGTTCACTGTGCTGAAACCCCCACCCTCCTACTGTCAACACATGAGTAATTCTGCTGCAAGCGCTACTGATAACCAACCACAGCTTTCAGGCTGTCCTGTTTCAAACCACAGGTCTCTATTCTGATTTCCTTGACACTTTCTGCTGTTTTGTTTTCACTTAAACCAATGAGAATTGAGCACATAAAGTCTCTTCCACTACAAGGATGTTGCTTTTCTTGTTTAGTATCAACACTGACCAACACTGAGGTCAAAAGTTGAAACCTACCAGGGAGATGCTACCAAGAATCAAAGCAACAGCTTTAATCTTCCAAAAATTACACTTTGCATTTGAGAACAAGAGAAATAAAAGGGAATTAGAACCACGTACATGAATATCCACGTCAGCTTCCAGTGAAGCAGTTTTACAGGTGCTAGATTGTAAACCTATTTAAACTGGCACTTACACAGACACTGAAGCATGAACTCTAGCCTATACTGATAATAATATCATCCTAAACAAAGGCAGTTCTTGTCAGTAGCAGGCTTCTGAGGGACAAGAAAATAATTTTCCTCACGAATAAAGCCTACAAAACATTGTACATCAAATGAAAGCAAAGCCTACCAGAAGCATGGAGAGGGAACGTCAGCATGCTCCTCAGTCACATTAACCCTCTTAGGATAGGGAAATGAGTACAAGCCAAACCAAACAGTCTGCTATTTTCTTGTGCCAAACCTAAGCCATGTGGAAATGAGACTCTCTCACAGTGTCCTTTATAAATAAGCAGTACAGAAGCTAGTGACGCTACTACTCAGGCCTTATCATCTCCTTGCAGTGTACTGTAAGGTCAGGCTGGACCAGGCTCTAACCAACTTGTTCTAGCTGTAGGCATCCACATTTATTGAGGGGGAGTTGGACTAGATGACCTTCAAGGGTCCCTTTTAATTCAAACAATTCTGGGCTCTATGATTCTACTCCTGTAACTCTCCTGAAACAGATTGCTTAGAATTTTATTTATTTATTTTAAATGTCATGCGAGTTACCAGCTCATCAAAAGAGCATCTTAACTGTATCACTACAATCTAATATTGGACTTTCTGATAATGGCCCATTTTTTTTCCTAGTCCAGCTTCTGCAAGTGGCTTGATTTTGAAGCATTTATAAGCATGCACAGAGTTCAAGTAAAGCTGCAAAATTGCAACAAGGCACACAGATTATTTGCATTATGTTTGTCATGTGAAATTCTTAATTGACTTCTGTTCCACACTCATCTTCAGAAAGCCTTAGCCATTACCTAGGACATAACTGACCATCACTAGAATCCTTCCAATTTTAAGTAATCACCAGCTGTTGTCTTTGCACGCATGCAAATTCAATTTAGAAGTCTGTGAGGGCAAAGAGAGCTGGCTTGATCTGCTTTTGTTTTGTCTTCCTGTGAAAAAGCTTGCTGTACAACGAGGTGATGCAAAATCTTACGTACCCACAAGCAGGCAGGAAGAAACAGAAGCATAGGAAACACACTGAGATTGCTGGAATGCCAACACATCCATGGGCTGAAGTAGTGTTCTGTCAGGTGCTCCAAGCTTCACTGTTTTGAGGCACAAAGCCCAACTTTACCAACATAATATGTCAGTGGAAGAGGAAGAAAATTACTTGCCGCAAATATTACCAGCAGCACATATTACTCATCTGACATCAGATGAGATTGTTTGCTAAGCTGCTTCAATTAAGGTGTCAGAAGTTACCCCAAAACAGCTCCTCCTCTGCAAACTGCAGTAATCAAAATAAAAATAAACAGCGATTCTGTATTTTTCTCCAACTTCAAAAAAGTACACTTTCTATATGAGAAACAGCTTGCCCCTTGATTAAAACTTAAAACTATTAAAACTTTGGCAAAAAAAAAATGAGTGATGATATCAATGTCAAGAAAAACAGAAGTCCAGTACTGCATTACTTATTTTTTTCATTGTTACATCTGCAGCAGAAACCCCTGACCTACCAGGCTGTGTTTAAAGCATTAAATTGACTTTTCAGTTCAGGCCTTTGCTTTCATTGGTGGCTCTATAAAAATGCAGCGCTCCACAGAGCTCAGCTGACTTCCAGGAGCCTGACTGGAAGGATGTGCCCAGACCGGGTGCTCTTAATCACTCCACTCAGCACCACTCTTCACTCCCACATGTTCACAGACTGCTAGAGCTGCAGGGGCTCTACCAGTGAAGAACACAGGCCTGGCATCCACAGACAAACAAGCCACGCTCAACTATCATCATCACGCTCTGCTGATCAGCAGTGCTGGAGGATAACACCCACCAAGTAAGTTTTGTTTGGAATAGAAACCATTTATCAATGAAACACTCAAGAAAAGTGATTAATCAAACTTGGAAAAAAAATGTTATTGACTACACTCCTCATGCTAGAAGCATTCTCATCGTATATTAAGATACCACTTCTGCCAACAGGAGAGATATTACAAAACAGTAAGCACATTGGGAAATGCAGAAAGAATTTATGTTTCTAAATTATTGCAAATCAATGGTAGCAGCACCTGAAGGCAAGCCATGATCCAACAGGCTACCAGATGCAAGCATCCCATGGTGCACTTTGATCTCCTGACCTGATACAGGCTGGAGCACAGCACGTCCTAACAAACAGAAAGATACAATCCTTAGCTCCAAGGCCTGTTCTCCACAGCTTACGTCATGCGCATGCCACCCAAAGCCACGCGGCATTACAGCTGCACTTCCTTGGGAAGATTAGAATATCACACTATCTCTTCCCATCCCCGCCCTCAGTCAACAGCTCTGCTTTAAGTGAAAACATATGGGATGGTTTAATCTTCACAAATGTCCTCTAAAGCACTAGGCCAGCTAACATGATGTCACTGTAATTACTGACAGTTTATGAAATATCAGTTTTCCCCATACTGTGGAACCAAGGACTGCAGATGACACAATTCCCTAGATCTTTGTGACCTACAGTACCTTCACTAGTCAGAACCAATAAAAACCACATTTCAAAATGTATTATGGAACCCCTCTTTTCACAGACAAAGAAAAATACGTGTACAGGAACTGCCAAACCACAGAGATACTAAACATGCAACAGTATTAGAGAAACACCCATTAAGTGTCCTTTTTATACTGGGAACAATGGCATTGATCTTATACTGCATTTGACCAGAATAAACCACTCACCAAAATAACTAAAAAGGTAACTGCCTGGATCCTATATTAATTGGAATCATCAGGTGTCCTTGTAGTAAGGAGAAAAAAAAGCCAAAGATGACACATTTCTCCAAGATGTTAATAAGACTTAACAATCAAAAAGTCTTCCACCTCTTGCCCAGATTTGCCTTCATTAAGGAGCTGTTGGTGTCTAAGCTAGCACACAGTATCCTTTTATAGGATAAGGATATATGTTAAGTTTGAGAATGAGAAAGAAAAAAGCCCTTTTTTGTTTCATTTAAAAAATTGCTGAGACAATTGTTATTGAATTGAAAACACTACCACTCAAGCCAAAAAGCCCCAAAACCACGAACAAGTATGGAGAAAAAGGAGATTGAAGGAACAGCTTTAGATGAGTAAAAGCAACTGCTGTCTGTAAAGGGTTTGGCTATTGGAAGAAGTTAAAGAAATACCAAGAAGTTAAACATTAAACCTATTCCAATGGCTTCTCACAGAACTAATGGCCTACATGCGGTTTTTGAAAGGAAAGAAAAAGCACGAGTTTTAACAGCTACTACAGAAAACCAAGCTCCTACTGAAAAGACTGCTAGAAGGATGCTTTCAGCTGTCCAGAAGGCCTAAATTCTGACTTAGTTCTTTGCAAGGCACATTTTCCTATTCATGCAGAAGGACAAAGCAGGACTGAGAACAGGAAATGTGACTATGCAGATAAGAAGTCAGCGTTTTACTCAGGACCTGATACAGGAAGACATGGAAACAAAGAAATCAAGGAACATTTACGTTTATATGAATTATGTGAGGAAAGTCTTAAAATGCACACTATTAAAATTGAACAAATATGATGCTTGTATTTCAATTCTAAAAATGATTTCAATATCATTCAAATTAATAATTTATGCAGCAATTTATGTCAGTTGCAGCACTGACAAACATACTGAAGGTAAGATTTTCTGCCAATCCTTAATAATATGCCAATCATCCTTTAATTAAAATTTAGACTTTTCCTCTGGTTCCTTTCACCATCCACCTACATACCCTACTATTTCTGAATCTCACAGAAACCCCCATTTTCAAGGCAGAAATGCAGTTTTCAGTGGGTTCCTTACTGGCACCATCAGTTCTAGAAGCCAAAGAGGCTCTGAAGCACTTCGGCATGCAGCACAACTTCAATTCAAACAGAGTTCTAGTGATAAATACACTTAGTAGTGCATAAGAGCCTGTTACTTTTACATGTACCATAGAAAACTACACGCTGTACAAAAGTAATACTTATTCACTGATGCCACCCAATGCTCCTCACTTCCAAAGAAGCAAATGAAGTAGACAGAGACAGAGTAATGTGATGGTAGTAACTTTTTCCAGACCCTTTTAGTCTTTCTGTAGATTTGCTAAGGCCCACCTGGGCAGTTAGGTCAGAAGCCTGGGACCTGTGCCTAGCAAGGTGCCCTTCGTATGAAGCAGCAGCACTGCTCTGACAGCAAAGGAACAATCTTCCCAGCCACTGCTTGCTCTCATCTTACCTGAAGGTTTCCAATTACTAATTACAATTTAACAGATACGACTACACATTAGAAAAGCAAGCGTACCAACTAGATTTTCACCTCTGCAAACCCAAGAGCAAATGCTGATTAGCACAGAAATGCCTATGTGTGAGTGGTAAGCTAATGAGGTATATCACAGAAGTACAATTACCAAAAAGGGGGAAATTTGAGATTTACATGCACTTATGCATGCAAGCAGTGCAAACTGGTACCAGAGTTCAGGTAATGTACAGATTTATTCCTTGAGCCTTGCTCAGAGTATCATCCTCTCTCTCTACTATCAGTTTGTTATACGAAATTCAGTATTTTAGAAAGAAAAAAAACCTTCTTCTAATGTTATGAACTCTTCAAAATAACACATCATCAGACCCAATTAGAACAAAAGACAGAAAAACAGCATTTTTTGAACAGAGAAACGAGGTGCATCTGATCAGTGACTAAACACATTTAAGTTGCAAAACTGACCAATTTCCAGACTGGGAGATGCAGAACAGGGGAGGTTGCCTTCCACCACTGCTGAAACGCACCACCCACTGCCTCACTGTGCTAACATTCACAGTTTGGTCTCCATAAGTGTTCAGCAAGCACTGATGAATATGAATGGATGTCGCTTTTTCCACACGGAAGAGTTCAATGACAGAAAATATGTGGGAAGGTTCAATCTCTACTGCTATACCAGCAACATCCACGTCTGACACTGTGGGTCAATATCATAATATAGGAGGCATTACTTTCGGAGCAGCCCTCATAGTAATCCCCACTACGTAAAATGCAATGCATGGCAATCGTAAGAATCTTAAATAAGCCGGCAAAGTGCTCTTGCCACAGTGAAGGCCACTGCTCTCCTGGGCTACACTGGGCAGAGTTTTGCCAGAGATGATCTTTCCCATTTGCTCAGCACAATGAAAACACACCCGGACTTTTGGGGTCAGCTCTGGGCTCCCCTGCATGAGTGAGATCCAGGCATACAAGGAGTGTCTGGTGAAGGACCACCAAGATGATCCAGGAACTGGAATACCTTTTCTAGGAGGAGAGTCTGGGAGAGCTTAGACTCTTCAGCCTGGAGAAGGCCTAGGGGTGAATTTCACTAGTGTGAATAAATATCTAAAGGGAGAGTGTAAAGAGGACAAAGCCAGGAGCTTCCAAGTGGTGCCCTCTGCCAAGGTAAGAAACAACAGACACAAACTAGAACACAAGCAGTTCCCTCTGACCACCAGGAAACACTTCCGTGCTGTGCAGGCACTGGAGCACTGGCTCCAGATCTACTTCGCAGAGTGGCTCATGAGTTCAAACAGCAGGCTGTTGTTACCTGACATATAACTTATGTTACCTGATTTACTGAAGCCCAGTACTGCCTATTCAAAATCCTATTGACGTTTACTTATTCCATGTGCAAATCTGTTTGCCTTCGCTGTTATTAAATACAGTTTTACAGATAAAACATTGTATCCAACCATTGCAGGCTTGTAAACATTTCACTTAAACAAATAATGAACCAAGCTCTATGTAGCTGGTTGCATGACCAAAGGCCCTGTAAGCAAAGCGTTTTATCATGCCCAAGATAACAAGGAATGGCTTAGAAAAAGCACTTACACTCAAGTGTAAAGCTGAAAGAGGAAGAAAATATTCCAAAACAAATAAAAGGTTCTCTAGTGCTGCTTACAGGATGATTCAGCAATAAAATACACACAGCCAAACCAAATCTTAGCTCTATCAGCCACAAGCAGTTGATATTAAAGACAAAAATACAGAAACGTAAACACTCACATAAACAATATTGCAATGTGCTCTGTAAACTATGGAAGAGAGTGAAGGAATAAGAGAATAAGTATCACCTTCTATTTGTGATTTCCTCCAAGAACTCTTTTGAAGAAAAATAAAAATAAACTCCAGACCCTCTCAGTTTTCTTCAACATTGAACACCAGTGCAAATCAGAATTTGTTGCCAACCCTTGCTACACAAAAATGCTACAAC